CGGTACCTGATCTTGCACTCCCGCAGATCTTCCCTCTGCTTGGAAAGCCTATGCTCGTAGTCCTCAGTGAGGTGCTTCTGCTGAGCTTCCTTCTCAGTCAGATCCAATTTGAACTGAGCCAGCTGTTTTGCCAACTCTTTCTGGAGTTGTTTAGCTCCAACAACTGCTTCCTGTTGGGGCCCTAAGGAGCCCAGGCAGGCAGGCTAGGAGTGGCTGGCAGGGGAGGGGCAAGTAGAGGCTGGCGAGGCGCCCCATGATGTGAGTGACATTGAGTTGGCCACGCCCACCCAGTCAAATGACCACCTAGCCACGTTCGCCCAGCCAGTCATTAGGCAGATCATATTAGTGGTTCGCTGGATTTAAAATTATGAATTTAGTGTTTCCTAAGATCTGAAAGGCTGGAGATCCCTGTTGTAAAGCATTATAAAAATATAAGTGCTATTGGTGTTGACTTTGGATCATTTTTCTGTGATTGTTGATTAACCTGCATTTTTGGAGGCATATATTAATTTTGTATTTTATATAACGTTGCTTACTGCAAAAGAAGAAAATCCTGGTCTACGTATATGTACTTATATGATTATTTCTGGATTTGTTATTTAAACTCCTATTGCAATAAAACATTAACTGTGTGTAACCTGAGAAGTTTGTATCCTGTTAGTAAGCACATAATTAAACTGAGGTATATCTCGCTAATCAAGACATGAAAACATATGTTAATTTTGCATTGTTGCTCACAAGGCAAGATACAGGTTTTACAGAAGACCAAGGAAAAAACCAGATTCAGTCCCATTTGGCTAACCAGCAGCCATCGTTTGCACAATAATGCAAGATACAGCAGAGAATTAGGTTACAGCTTCTCTGGGAAAACCAGCCCCACTGAGAGGTCAACGATCTCCTGACTAAATCAGTGCCCCATCTTCCTGCAAGGAGAAAAGCCCTGCGGGAAAGCAAAGCAATCAGCTCCTAGGAAGAGAGGGTAATTTTGCTACTCGTTGCTTTTTAAGAGCTTCCAAATGAAATATACCATTAATTAAATATACCAGATCTTCCTTGCTTTTTGCATCCCCCAGCAGGCATGTCTACTGTCCCTTCAGCACAGAAGAAAAACCAAAAATGAAAAAGCGGAGAAACTGCCAAGATTTACTTGATGAGCAAGAAGGAATTGCTTATTCAGATTTTAGAAGCATGGGTCTGCAGTTCTCACTAATTTTCTAATTCCGGCATGATGGGCAACCAAGTGGATCATAACCAATTACCTGGTGCAGACAGGAAATGCTGTTTTGTGTGAAGACATCCTGCCCACACATTTGGCTAAATACTTCCGACTATAAGACCTTAAAGCAGAGTTTCACAACCTCAGCAATGTTAAGATGTACCCCCAGAATTTCCCAATCACCATACTGGTTGAGAAATTCTGGGCACCGAAGACCACACATCTTAAAGATACTCTGGCTGAGATGCACTGCTTTAAAGCAGAGATTTGAACCCCAACTCTTTGAGTGTTGCTCACCTTTAGCCATGTTGGCTGGAACTTTTAGCAGCTGCAATTGAATGGCATCTGGAAAACTGAAGACGTGTATGTCTACTGTACATTCTTGCTTACAAAGAATCATACAATAGAAAGGGCAAATTGGGACCCATCTCTTTTTTAATATGAAAATCGAACTTAAAGCATCGCCAGTAGATGGCAGTTTAGCTTCGATGTGTTTGGATAATTGATTCTGCTGTCCATTTTCTCTTATTATTTCATTCTTCAATTCCTGTCTTCCAATCCTGAGACAAAACATGCTTTCACGGAACCAAATGAATTATAACCCCACCCTCCTTTTTTTTTTTTTTAGCTTAGTATGCTCTGTGAACTAATCCATGTTGTTAGTTTTACATCAGTATACTTTATTATCTCAGGTTAACCCAGGACATTAACTGAATAAACCAGATAACTACAGGTAATTAGAGCATGGGAACTCAGACAATAACTGCATTTCTCTCAGCTATTATTTAAGCCTTGTATTAAAATGCATATTGGTTGTGTTCTGTACAATAAACCATAAATCATGGTTTACCCCCAAAACAAATCTGTAAGCTTGAAATTTGCTCACTGGTGATTAATAGCAGAAAACAAGGGAAAATAAGGAGAAGAGAACAGTTTGATCAGTTAAAGTAGGGGTGTCCAAACTTAGGAACTTTAAGACTTGTGGACTTCAGCTCCCAGAATTCCCCACCCCTGAGTTAAAGGCACCAGGCTAGAAACTGGGAGAGAGTGCGTTCTAGTTCTGTCTTAGGCATGAAAGCTGGTTTGGTGACTGAGCCAGTCGCTGTCTTTCAGCCCAACTCACCTTACAGGGCTGTCGTTGTTTTGGGAAAATAGGAGGCGTGGAAGGAGTATTAGGTATGTTCACTGCCTTGAGCGATTTATAAAAATAATAAAGGTGGTATACAAAAATCTTTAAAAAAGAAAATGCCGCAGAATCCAATACAACATACATTTTACTAGCAGAACAAAAGCTACCAAATACAAATGTTAGAAAACAGCAATGCTAAGTATACTAGGAATGCACAAGACAGCCCCGTAAGCTTGTGAAAAGCAAGGAGACGGTCTCAACTAAACCTCTGATAAAATGTTTAGACTTGATAGGCTACTACGATTGGATCCCGGCCCACCCCACCCTCGCGTGGCACTACTCTAAAATGCTAAATACGCACAATACTCCACACTAAGGAACGTTAGAATAAATTGAATCCATTGCAATTATTTTACATTTCAACATAAATAAGAGTGACATTTGAGAAAAGCAAAACAAAATAATCGAGGTTACATACACATACCCCATTGCGTCATTCGCAACCTTGCTCTGCGCACCCTCCTTTTTGTTTCAGAGAAAGCCAACAAGAGTTTGGCTTGGCCAGAGCAAAAGTGAAAATTAAATGTACTCTTTTACACATTTTCCCCCTCCCTCCCTCCTCCTCCTCCAGGCAACTCTGCAGATGTCAAGATCTTTAGCCTCTTGATGTAGGTCAACATCGTTATTAACTCGTTCTCCAAAGAAGGCAGGAATTCACTTTTTTTTAAAAAAAAAAAATCATGCACTTCTCTGTAAACTTCCAGGTGGTTTGATATATTTTTCTTAAAGTAAGTGGACTCTAGAAACTGGTCCACCTTGCTGAAAAATCTCTACATCAGTGTCCAGGGCAGCCCAAATCGGAGTCAGGCTCCTGTGAGATTTACAGAATGGCACAGAAGAACTTCTTCTCTCTAAATGGATTTTCTGAAGCAGGGACAGGAGTTAATAAGGGGTCTTCCTTGGCATGGGCTTCACAGTACGCCATCAGGTCTGCTGCAGCTTTGGATACCTGCAAATAAAAAAGACGGTTGATGTCCTTTTGATATTCCAGAGTAGCTGTTCTTAAATTGCAAAGATGTGCGGCCAGTTGGCCAAGGATACGTCAAATTAACTGAAGGGTCCTTTGTGTTCTCTTAGCTTGCTTGTTTTCTTGAAGATGTTTCATTACCCAAACTAGAGCACTGCAGAGCGGTTCCACCACAAAACCGTGGAGGACTAAGAGCCCCCAACTTTGACAAGAACCAACATTTGCTTTGAAACAATCCAAGGATTTATCTGACAAAATCCTCC